GTCGAAGTGACATCTGCACTTGTTTGTTCATTGCAGCACTCTTTACAATAGCCAGAATCTGGAAAAAACCTGAGTGCCCGAGAACAGAAGACTGGTTAAAGGAACTTTGGTACATTTATATAATGGAGTACTATGTAGCGGTTAGAAAAGATGAAGTTATAAAAATCACCATGTATTTTATCCTCAGAAGCCAATACAGTATCTGGCATTGAGCAAACTATTGCCACTTAATGAATAATGGAGTAAAATAGTCATAGGTAACACTAAAGATTAAGGCTTTGTTTTGATATCAGGAAGAATATAGTCAGGAAATAGATTGTGGAAGAGAGATACAATTCAAGTGGAAATACACTGTAATCATCCCAAGGAGACAAAGACCGAAAGTCAACAAGAAAACTATAATCAGAGAACCAGTAGGAAAGAAATTAAATTGAAAATCTGCATAAATACTAAAGAGTAGGCTAGAAAGAAATCAGAACTTATCGCCTCAGAATAACCCATTTTTCCCATTGATTCTGAATTATACCTAGTATCTTTTTCAGTTATTGCATCTTCCACCCAAAATTTATCTTATAATCAAATACGTAAATGAAATTTCTTAAGATATTACATCTTCAGACAAATCTATCTATAGTCATGAATTTTTGACAAGGGTGCTGAGAACATGAAATGGAGTAAAAACAGCCTCTTCAAACCATGCTGGGAAAAACTGCATGATGATATGCAAAAATTAAAGTTGTAGGCTGGAGAGAACTCATTGGAAAATGCAGGTATGGGGCAGTGGTAACGGCAAATTCCAAGCCTCACGGGATAGGAGAGGAGCTGGCCCTTCTCCTCCCCGACCCTGACGGGAACCTGAGATGATGCCCACAAATGGTCCTGACTACTTATTAAGTTCCTTAATGGCCATGATCCCAGAGAAACACAAAAGAATCTCAGAACTGAGTGGCTCTTGGCAGGGATCTCTCTAATTATTAAAATTTTAGAATTCCAAGACCATGTGGCTCCTTGCTATTCATATGCTATTCATAACCAGCAATACAAAACAAATTGTTTAGCATTACCTTTTGGTCAGGTCTGAGTGTTGGGGGGGGGAAATTTCAAGTAATAATGGTGGGTCTGGTGTCAGAATATTGAATGTAATCAAAGTAGAAAGAGAGAGTAATGTGGAAATTATCTGCCACATAGGCAGGGGTAGGGTTGGGATGGGGGGTATACTGGGTATACTGGGGTTCTTGGTGGTGGAAAATGTGCAGGGATGTGAAGGGATGGGTGTTAGATCATTGTATGACTGAGATTCAAACATGCAAGCTTTGTAACTGTCCTCACAGTTATTCAATAAATGAATTTTTTAAAAAATTAAAGCTGGGTCTAGAGCAATAATACAGTTGGTAAGGTGTTTGCCTTGCGTGCAATCAATCCAGAGTTGATCCCTGGCATCCCATATCGTCCCCTAAAACCAAAAGGAGTGAATCCTGAGAACAGATCCAGGAGTAAGGCCTGAACACTGCTGAATGTGGTAAAAAAATCAATAAAGCTGTATCCATATCTCACACCCTATACAAAAGTCAATTTAAGTAATATCAAAGACCTTGAGATTTGGCCAGAATCTATAAAGAACAAAAAGATGATATATACCTTATATAGGCAGAATTCTCAAAGATTTGGACCTCAAAAGGGTTTTCAATAAGATGCCATTGGCAAAGGCCATAGAATTAAAAATAAAGAAATGTGACTACATCAAATTAAAGAGGTTCTGCAAGGCAAAAGAAGCATGGTATAAAACTAAAAAACAGCTAACTAAATGGGAGAAAATATTTGCATTCAGCATGTCAGATAAAGGATTGACATCTAGAATATAACTGCTTAGTATACACAAAAAAAGGAGAGAGAGAGAGAGAGAGAGAGAGAGAGAGAGAGAGAGTTACTGCCATAGAGGCAGGCTCTTGAGCGGAAGAAGGTTGGGGGACAGGAGGGAAATTGGGGGCATTGATGGTAGGAAATGTACACTGGTGGAGGGATGGGTGTTGGAACATTGTATGACTGAAATCCAATCATGAACAGCTTTGTAATGGTTTATCTCATGCTGACTCAATAAATAAATAAATAAATAAATATTAGCATTAAGACGGATTAACAACAAAATTCAAGAATCCTATCCAAAAGTGAGAAGAGGAAATTAATAGGCATTTTTTTGAAAATGAAAGGGAGATGATTAATAGGTACATAAAGTGCTTATTATCACTTTTATTATGGAAATCCCTTCAATAAGATATCATCTCACACCAGTGAGAATGACACATATCGAAAATACTGTTAATAATCTGTGTTGGTGGGAATGTGGTAGAAAAGAAATTCTCCATCCACTGCTGGTAAGAATGTTGTCTGATTCAACTCCTATGGAAAACATCAAGAAATGAGGTCCTGAATTCTCTTCCTAGTGTTCTAGAGCATCCTAATAGCACCAGGTGCGGCTCTAGGGGCCCCTGGGTATGACTGAGCCTGCATGTTGCTGCATCACCAACCCATCATTAAACCATTAGTCCACACTCCTGAGTCAAGCATCACTGGAAGTGAGTTCTGCCCTTCCCCACCTCAGTACTACTAAGAACCCTTTTTAAAGAATTTATCTAAGCAATATCTGTACCAACAACCTCTGACCATTCAACCATTTAACCAGAGAAAGCCTTAAAGGAAGTAGATTTTCAATCACTTTTTTTCTTCGAGGAGTATTTTGTTCTAAAGAAGTATATATGTTATAGAAATAGCAATTTTCATAAAAACCTATTTCCTCCAATGGTGTACACACACACACGCACACACACACACACACACACACACACACACGTAGATATTTCTGACACTGTATATGTCCAAGCAGTAGGTATGTGGGAATGTTGGGGTAGGTGCCCTTGGGAAGGAGGGACAAGAGCTCTATTTCTAAAGCTCTATGTTCTATAGTAGAATAAATTCAAGAACTAAATGGAATAAAACACAGTTAATTTTGTAATTAGTTGACCCTAGGGAAAAAGAGCATACTCAAAATAAGATTCAAGAATACTAAATAGCATTGAAACTTTAAATCACCAGGCTTAAAAATAAAACAAATGCTGCAAATGCACAGCTATAAATCTAATATTCTAATTTCTTAGCTACGTTTGAAGAAAATTAACCAGGAAGATTGCTATGGCATTAGTCTTGCAAACCACATTAGGCCATGTGGGTCAACTATGTCAGCTCTAGCACTGCATCATAACTTCTCTAACATGCACTTTCACTAAGGGGAAGGAACAGAATGGACAAATATGCCTCTAGATTGAAGTCCTCTATTTCTGTCACAAGGACACATTATGTAGAGAAATTCTAATGCTTAGGAAATCATCATTTCCCTTAGAGAGTTCAGACCCCATAAAATTTGCATTTAATTTCTGCTGAAAGTAAATTGATATAGATGAAAACCTCATGAACATTGCATAATTCATATGACTGCTTTTTAGAAAGTCTATCCACTTGGTAAATGGATTTTAAGTCAACTCATTAGATCTTTCTAAACCATGATGCACTTTGCTATAATTTGCAATAAAACTATTGAGAATGCTAAGACAGGTGAAAAATTAAGTCTATTTTTTTAAATTTTATTGAATCACCATGAGATAGTTACAAGCTTTCATGTTTGGGTTACAATCTCACAATGATCAAACACCCATTCTTCACCAGTGCACATTCCCCACCACCAATATACCAGGTATACCCCCCCACCCTCCCCCTGCCTCCATGGCAGACAATATTCCCCATACTCTCTCTCTACCTTTGGTCATTATGGTTTGCAATACTGACACTGAGAAGTTATCATGTTTGGTTCTTTATCTACTTTCTGCACACATCTCCCATCCTGACCAATTCCTCCAGCCATCAATTTCTTAGTGATTCCTTCTCTATTCCAGCTGCCTTCTCCCCAAAAAATTAAGTCTTAAATATTGGCCTTGATATAATGATGTGTATTTTACTGATTACAACAATATCACAAACTCAGATGCCCAATAAATGATCACCCATTTTTTTCAGTCAGTAGAGGATGAGTTTGACAACACTCTTGTTTCCAAATCATGGTACATCCAGCCAGCATTAAATGCTATTTAGCCTAATGAAAGTCTTTTTTAATTACCAATGTAATTAAAGATGATTTAAAGCACTGTTTCTCTACCAAGGACCTTATGGCCCCCTCTGAGACACTGAGATAGCCCAAGAAAGCCATAGTAAAAGTCACCTAAATAGTGTGGTTGTGGCTGAAACTAGAGGCCCAATCCTTATGGCAGGGAGCCAAAGTGAGGAAACAGGAGGCTATGGTCGGCAAAATGGTTGAGAAACTGATTGGGCAACAACAAAAGAAGGCAGAAATGCATTTGCAACAGAAGTATCTCATATTCCCCAACCTCAACCTACCAACCAACTTAGACCATAATAGTTTCCTGCCAAAACATTAATAGTTGCTTTGCCATTCACAAAGGCACACCCTTTCCTGGCATCCTGCATCCCATCTTCCATTTAAGTAATTTCCATTTCTACCCATATTTTTCTGTTGTGCTAAGATTTTCAACACACTGCTTTTTTTTCTTATTATTGATTCGTCAAGAATATATGCCAATTTTTATCATTGGCTTGGAACGTTTAAGATTTACGGAAGACTTATCATGGACATGGCGTGTGTATAATAACTATATTGTGCACATATATGATATTAACAAAGGGTGAAAACAAATATTCAACACGTCAACAATATAAAATATTTGATATCGTATATATTTTAATAGAGAACATGTTCTCTCTAAATGATTCAAAATCATCTCTCATCTATCACATCTTCTGAGGTCAGACTTAAGACCCACAATGGGGTTTTTGTGGGTGATAATATTTTGCAATGATCATACTAAGTGTAATGTTATGGATATCATCTGTATCCTTACTGTAACAACCTTTAGTTCTTGGCAAAATGTACTCACGCTCACTTTTCCAGTGTTATTGTCTTCTTCTCTTGCTGCCAAAGCCTTCAGAAAATTGTCTTTCAGTGTTTTACCAGCACTTGTTAATGTCCTATAAAAAAGTAAGTGTTTGGTGAAATTAGAAAATTAGTAACTTAAAACAATCATGCTTCTTTATACTGATGATTTCTCATTACATAAAAAATATTTATACCCCAACTATAATAATTGGGGGGTGTCAAAGTCATGCTCAGAGGCTCAGGGAGAGTATTTCCTTAAATTCTCTATTTTCAGCCAACTAAACCTAGAAGTCTACACGTGGCCTAAGAATGCAATCGAGTTCAAACCTGACTGAACAAAAAAAGTTAAACTCTGTCCCATCAGTGTTAGGAGTCTCCAGGGCCATTCCCTGTGGCAATCAGTGTTCTCAAAGACAACATCTTAGTGGTGCTTGGGGAGCCATTTGATGCTAGAGATTCAACACTGGTCCTTGCACACGCAAGGTAAGTACCACTGGTCCCCTGACTCCTATTCTCCAGGTCCCATTCTATTTTTCAGAAGAGAATACAGAAGCTGTAGAGATAGTATAGGGATAGCACAGTTATGCTTGAATACTGTCAAGCTCAGTTCAAACCCTGACACCCAGATATAACCTAGAAGGCCCCCAAGTACCAAGAAAGAAAAATTAGTAGAAAAATAACTTTTGGAGCCAGAGAGATAGCACAGTAGACAAGGCACTTGCACAACATGCAGTTAATCTGGGTTTGATCCCCAGCACTACATATGGTCCCCCAAGCTTACTAGGAATGATCTCTGAGTGCAGAGCCCAAAGGAAGCTTTGAACCCCACCAGGTGTGGCCTCAAAAACAAAAAATAAATAAGAAAAACAACTGTCCCTGGGAGTAACCTCTAAAAAACAGATTATAACAAAAGTTGCAATTAAATAAAATTATATCACATGATAAAAAGTGAATTCAAGGAATTTCTGAAACAATATTTATGTTTTCAGTTATTTTACATATCATCATTTCATTGTATTTCTATAATGTAGCAGGTACTGACTCAGGCACAATTCCTTTTTCAGAAGTAGCTTGTGATCCATAGAACGGAATATTTGTATAAACATTATAATATTAAACTATGAATAATTTTAGCAACACATAAAAATAGGAGTTAATAAGAGACATTTTATAGTTATTTAATTCAAAGGAGTTAATAAGAGACATTTTATAGTTATTTAATGAAACATCACTTAATTTTAAAAAGGTAAAGTGAGCATCACTAGTTGAAAAATGTGGAAGAGAGGGGCATCAAACACTATTGAAAAAAATCAATTCATGGAGATATAAAACTTCAAAGTACTTTGGGTAACAAAAAAGGGTCAGAAAGTGCATAAAGTGAAGGCAGAATCATATGATTCTAATAGAAACAGTTTTTATACATCTATCACTGCAAATAGGTATCTACAGTACTCAGATAGTAGAAGAAGCACCCTATTTCAAGCTATATAGTCTCGTTCTAAAACTCATTCTCAACTCTATAGGCCATGCAACTTTCCTAGAAGGGCCTCCGATAGTATGTTAAGAATCCTGACCCTTGTCTTCTGGGAGAGGTGAATGACAAAAGTCTCTTGAAAATAAATAAAATGATCAAGTTTTTATTTTACAAAGAAAATCCAGCGGCTGAGAGATATATAGCCTGGATGAAAACAACGCTGTTGGATCAATTACAGGACTATTACACAACGTAAGCATGAAATTATAAACACCCAATTGAAAAACAGTGACAGGAAAGACAGAAAGGAAACAAGTTGGTGGTTTATTCTGTGAAGAATTCAAGATCACTGCCACGTTTCATTAAGTCAAGACAGCCATGTAAAATGCATGGACTACTGATTACATTGTTGATGTGTGAACGCAAGCTTTTAAATAAATAATAACTGACTGCTTTAGCTCTTCCAGATTTATGGAATTTGGTTGCAAAGTCAACCACAGCAGATATTTCAAACATTGCTGGAGCGACAGGACAGCAGGGCAGGGAGGGAACCTGCCCTCCACGTGGCCAACCCACTTTCCATCCCCAGCATCCCATATGGTCCCTCAGGCGTGCCAGAAGAAATGATCCCTGAGCACAGAGAGCCATGGGTAAGTCCTGAGCACTTTCGCGTGTGGATTACTTAACTGAAAAAAAAATCTAAATATGTATTAACCACAGGTTACTGTCTGGGGCAAAATATCTACTAAACTACTAGAACGAACATGAAAACTTATTAATTTATAACCAGTTTAAGACATGAGACTGACGATACAGTAAAATCAGAGTAGTCCTCTTTTACTATTATTTAAGCCTTATATACTGGGTCTTTGATCATTTTCTTTGATCTCTAAGAAGATAAAATGAACAAATTTTGTTTTGTCAATTGAAGGCAAAGAAGAGAACTACAATTCCTAAAATATTTGAAGCAGAATAAAAAAATGTTTCATACATAACCAACCATTAGAGTACACTACATCTGAGAACCTGAGACTTCCCAACAAGGGAGAAATAATGGAAAAGAAAGTTAATGCAGAGTGTGTGGTAAGGAATTCTTAAATCTTTAACATGCATTACTCTTACTTAACTAGGTTTATTTAACAGTCAGTGACCTGAGAAAACTTGCTTAAATAAATATTACACATGGAGTTGCTTCCTTATGAAATGAAGTAGCAAGTTTATTACAAAATCTTAGGGTTAAAGTTTTATAAAGACAAATACTCCATCTTTGCTGTTTACACTTCACTACACTTTCAAAATGAGGTAAAAGTTATATGGATGAGTTAATTTTTACCAACCATGTTTAATCATTAGCTGTAAGAACTTACATAATCCTACATGAGAGACTCAAAATATATACTGAGCCCTCAACAATTAAGCTACTGGTTTTATGATTTAATTCTGAAGTTTCTGCATCATGTATATTCACATTTCTTTAGTTAATACAGGAAAAAGGAAAAGGAGAAAGACTGAAAAAGCAAAATAGAAATTCATTTTTAAGAACAATTTTCTTAGGAATTAACAAAAATATTTTTCTTTCAGTTAATATTAGATTTGCTTATCACCTTAAACTTTTAAATATATATTGAGAATGACCTAATAATAAAGATCTCATTAATCATCAAACTGTGTTCTAATAAACACTAAATAATCCCTAAATCAAACCTGAGACGATTTTTACAATTTTATCTATTGAAGAATATATTAGCCTCAATGCAAGACATTTTGCAAACACTTCCTATTAATCTCAAATCAAACCCTGAAGGGGAAAAATATCATCTTCCACTTTGAAGAGGAACATAATTATCAAATAGAATTAATATTTTAATCTCGATCTCCCTGATTCTAGGCTTATTCCTTATGTAATATATTACTGCTTCGCAATATCATGTTTTACATATAATAGTACTGATAGACTACTGGGGAGAGTTGGAATACACTGTGGTGTTCAGGGGCTATTTCTGGATCTGTCCTCAGGAATGACCCCTGATGGTGCTCAGGGGACTATCTGTGGTCCCAGAGATTTGATGTCTAGTCAGCTGCACTCAAAGCAAGTAGCTGAACTCTTACACTCTATCTCCAACCCAACATTTATATAATATTTTTACATCATGGAGACAGTGATCATTTACTAGGGAGAAGAAACCAAATTAACGAGACTGAGGGTGAGCTGGGGAATGCAGCCTTCATCACAGGTGCTTTGAGGAGTTATCAGAACCGAACTGTTCGGCTTGAAACCTCTAGGGAAAAGTAATCAGCCATGCTTATCAATAAAGAAGTCCAGACATTAGTTCTGATTAGCTACTTTATCTAGAAATGTTTTATCTTCTTTAATGTCAGTGAATTCTCACAAAACCTGTATCGCATATTTCTAAAATTCAACATAAAAGCACTACTAGAATATGAAATTCAACCTTTCTCTCTCTCTCTCTCTCTCTCTCTCTCTCTCTCTCTCTCTCTCTCTCTCTCTCTCTCTCTCTCTTTTGAGGGAGAGAACTTTGGGATTACACACAACTGCCCAAGGTTTACACACCCTTGTCTCGGTGCTCAGGAATCACTTTGGGACCATAAAGGATGTTGGGGACTCAATCCCAGCCAGTCACAACATGCAAGGCAAGCACCTTACACTCCATACTATCTCTCTCAACCCTTTTGCTATTTTTAAATGATATTTTGCAAAGTTCAAAAAATTTTAGGGACCATTCTCTGTCCTAGAAATTCAAATGCATGTCAATCTAAAATGTATATCCTCAGCTCTCTCTCTCTCTCTCTATCCAAATAGATTATATAATTAAGGCTTGGTGCCCTCTCTCTTACCTCAAATAAAACTAATGATTCCTTAGAAAAACTCTTTATAAATATTAAAATTTTGCTTCTAAATATCATTTCCATATCCCCCTCTTTTTTAAAAGTTGAGCTTTGCTCTCTCATCAAAGGTGAAACAGGGGTGCTCTTATACATATATTATACTGGGACATTAATAAATTACATTTATGGGGCCAGAGAGATAGTACAGCAGACAAAACTTGCACATGGCAGATCTGAGTTCAATTCTCAGTGCCACATATATTCCCGAGAACTGTCAGAAGTGATCCCTGAGTACAGAGCCAAGAGTACGTCCTGTTACCTGTCAGACATAGATGGGAACGTTTGTAATATATTTATAATATTGATTATATAACATTTTATCTCAAATATTTACCCATTTGCTCTGCCTTGAATTAGTTTCCTATTATTAGTATTATTCAATTATTTATCATTTCTATTATGAATTTTTTTCAGTGCTGTGACTTGAACTCAGAATGGCCACTTACTGTGATTTCTGATAAATAAATGCTATGGAGTTATTATTTGGTAATTAATTATTAGCGACTTATTTGTATCATTGTAAATTAATTCATTAAACATTTAGAATTTCTCTTCATGTCATGTTAACAGTCTTGTTACTAAAAATCTTAGATATCAAAATTATGACTCATTTATCTAAAATACTTTAGTTCTTTTACTTATTTATTTTATTTAGTTGTTTATTTGTATAAAAGATATAGCACTTTGTTTTTATATTGAATAAAGTTTATC